TTTCTTTTGTATTATTTGAATATTTCATGAGTTCATTGTATCTCCTTTATTGGCTGATTAGCTGTTAGCTTTGTTTTAATTATTTTTGTGGGTCTTTAAGAGTTATATTCGTAACTTATCCCAGTCTGTCTTCTAAAACCCCTCTGTGGATAAACACTGTATTCTTATGTAAGAAGTGGTAGTGTCTTAAAACAGGACCTGCAGACTGATTCGTGGATGAACTAACTACTCATTTCTCCTGAGCCTTCGTTCTCCTGGAAATTACTATTCTTTCATAGTCTAATAAGTGTAAGTCAGACTCTTCTGGCAAAGGGATACTTGAGAATGAAACATCAACCTTGAACACCAGCATTTTTTTCTAAAGTCATTTTTATAAGCTGCTCTTTGGGAGTACTTCCAAGTTCATGGTAATTTATTTATAGAGCTAACCTAGCTTAAATTTTTATTCTGCTTTCTGGGAGTATTCAGAGCGACTATTCTGTATAGGGCCACTGTCTGAGAAAACATGAGAGATGTTTTGTATCCCATGATTATAGTCCTTCACATACCTGTAGAATCTTTTACAATGTAGGAAGTGACACGTTTTCTCATTTCTTCGTTTGTTCCTCAAGATACATTCTTGGAATAGGAAGAACAGATGATTTTACAGAGGAGGAAACCCAGATGAGGTGACATTTTCCCAGGTCATTCTGTGTGTCTGTGGCAAAGCTAGAATCCAAGGCCTGTTCTTGTTCCCTGGTGCCACACCACTTTACACTCATTCTTGACCTGCCACCACTATCATAATCACCTTTTCCTAGGTGCCCTGAAAGGGACAGCCAGGTGGCAGCTTGCTGTTTTCTCAAGGGAGGTCCTTGCTTATTGGCTAGGCCAGGAAGCTGGGATTAGTAGCTGAGTACACATTCATAAGTGACAGAACAAATCCAGTGGGGAAACGGTTTATTTCCAGCATTAATCTAGAAATGGATCATAGCTCATTTCTATTTGTACCTGAAATGCAGCAACCCATTATAATATGTTCTGTTGAAAGGGAACTCAGCAGAGGTGGTAACAGCCAGTGGCTGAATATATTCATATGCAAATGCAGTTGACCCCAGAACAACAAGGGGATAGGGGCACCAACCACTTGCTTAGTTGAAAATCGGGGTGTAACTTAAAGAAGTCTGCCCTCTGCATACTTGGACTGCCAACCAGGGATCAAAAATGGTAATTAAATGCTGTTGTGTCAGAGAACCTGGTTTCTACCGGAGTTCTTGCTCATTTTCTAGTGACCATGGTCTACTTTATATCTCTGAACTCTAGGTTCTTTGATTTTTTAACTAAAATGAATGAAGATGAAGCACATTCTTTGGAGTAGTCAGAGCCATAGGGTGGAGCTGGGTGCATGGAAAGAATCTCGGACTAAGAATCAGAGATCTGGTTTCTAGGTCTAGCTCTGCCCTTGAGTCACTACACCACGATTTGAGGCAAAGTATTTATCTGCTCCAAACCTCAGCGTGATACTACTACTTCATGGCATTGCTGAGAGCATTAAATGAAATATTGCGTAAAGTGTTCAGTACTGTATAGTTAACTGCTCAATTAATAGCAACTATTCTCATCACAAGAAAAAATTTATAATTATGTATGGTAATGGATGTTACAGACTTACTGTTACAATTATTTTGCAACATATACAAATATTGATCATTATGTTGGATACCTGGAACTAATATAATGTTAATATGTCAGTTATCTCAATTTTTTAAATAGGTATTACTATTTTTATTTTTCTGGTGCCTAACTGTAACCTGGACAGCTATCTTTTCTCATTTGAATTCAATGTCTCCATTTCTAAAAAGCGCACTAATTGTATCGCAGGGCCTTCACGACTCTGACCTTCTACACCTCGAACTGCCTAGCCTTCTGCACGCTGGCAGCCTCCTGGCATATGTGGTTAGGAAGGTCCTCAGGATCGAGAGGGTGGACGGTGGTGTTGACTCTGACCCACTCTCTGTTTGCAGACCACCACATACACCCGCCGGGGCCATGGGACGTGCACCAGCCCAGGTTGCTCCTTCACATATGTCACCAGGCACAAACCACCTAAGTGCCCTACCTGTGGTAACTTCCTAGGAGGGAAGTGGATCCCAAAGGTAAGGTCTATTGGCCATAGCTGCTTTGGAAGTCCACAAACCAGGTTTTCCTTAAGAATAGATAACCTTAGCCCTGGCTGGCGTGGCTCAGTGGATTGAGTGTCGGACTGTGAAGCAAGGGGTCACTGGTTCGATTTCCAGTCAGGACACATGCCTTGGTTGCAGGGCAGATCCCCAGTAGGGGGTGTGTGAGAGGCAACCACGCATTGGTGGTTCTCTCCCTCTCTTTCTCCCTCCCTTCCTCTCCGAAAATAAATAAAACCTTCTTTAAAAAAGAACTTTAAAAATTAGTATTTACTTTTACTTTCTGACCATACAAGTAAGTCAGTTTCATTGTAGACTATTTAAAAAAGAATAAAATGTTACCCGTAATCTTAACATCATCCAAAGAAAGCCATTATTAGTTAACATTTTGGTCTTCTGTGAATCTCCAAGTTCTGTATCTTGCTTTTTTTCTTTTTTTTTTTTTAAGATTTTATTTATTTATTTATTTTTAGAGAGATGGGAAGGGAGGGAGGGAGAGAGGGAGAGAAACACTGATGTGTGAGAGATTCATCGACTGGTTGCCTTGGCCCGCAACCCAGGCGTGTTCCCTGACTGAGAATTGAACCGGCGATCTTGCAGTTCACAGGCAGGTGCTCAGTCCACTGAACCATACCAGCTAGGGGTATTTCTTGCCTTTTTCCATTTAACATATCATGCCATTAAATATTCTTCAAAAACATTATCTGTAACTGCTTTATCATTTCCCATTGATGACTATACCATGTTAATTTATTTGCTTCCTATTAGGGTTAAAGTTTTAACAGTTCATCCTTTACACTGACTGCTTTGTTATTCAGATGTATAGCTCCATCTTCTCACTCCTTAGCTCAAAGTCTTGTCAGTCTCCTAGGCTCCTTTTAAAAGTGGAGGTTCTTAACCTAATAGTCAGGATCTTTCATAGTCTAACTTTCCAAATGTATGCCTCTGTCTCTCTAAATAATTGATGCTCAGTAAATAAATGAGTGTTAGAGCTATGCCTCTGTGAAGTCCAGTTCAATGTATGTATTTTGTTACCTGTTCTATGCTTGGCATTCATTGTGCTTGGCATTTACTGTGTAAATTATACTTATTTGTCATATTTTTTTTATTTTAGTCTATGAACTATTCAGGGCCAAAAAGACTAGAATAGTCAGGGATGGTTTTATAGAGGAGATGGTCTTGAAAGATCAGTAGAATTTGAGTAGCTAGAAAAGGAAAGAGGGCATTGTTTTTGTGGAAATAAGTTAGGCTAGGATCGTGTTTGTAAGGGCCCAGAAACTTACATAGCAGTATTCTTAACCAGTCTCCCTGGGGCAGTTTCCACAGAACAGCTCTGTGAGAAATTGGGATGACTATTTGTGCCCTCTGGCCGAGTGTTGGAGTTCAGGTAGGACCCGCTCCTGGAGATGGAATAGGATGACAGTTAGGAACACAGTTCTGGAGTTAGCTTCCTCACTTCAGACTCCTGCTTCCCAAGATTTTATCTAGGTAATCTTCAGCCAGTCATTTTATGTCTCTATTCTTGATTTAGATTTCTTCTCATTTGTGAGTGGAAGTTAACAATAGTACCAAAATCTTTGGGGTTGTTGCCGGGGTCAAGTGAGATGACTTGTGTAAAGCGGATGACACATCCCTGGCATGTATTCAGTCCTCGGCGAGGCCTCGCCTCTGTCATTCCTAGCAGCAGCATAACTACCGTCTCCATTATAGCTGTTAACGGTGGTCACTTGGAGGGGCAGGAAGGAGCTAGTGCTAGTGTCCCTCGGGGTTTTGTCAGGTTTCTCTGATGTGCCTCTGAGGCCATTCCCTTCATTTCCACCCTGATTATTCTCCCCTACATGTGCTCCCCAGCTGCAGTGCAGTGGGGGATTAAACGGGATGGTGGTCAGAACCCCCCTCGCCCCCCCCTCCCCCCCGCCCCCGTCTTCACCCCTGCACAGCAGGTCCGTCTGTCGGCCTCGTTCCCTGTGCTTGTCCAGGCAGAGTCTTACTGACCCTGCGGCCTGGACGTCTTTCAGATTATGTTTTACTTTGGCTTTCTTTTCTTTTTTGTTTTATGTCTTTTTTCCCCGCCTTTGATCGAAATTACTTTTTTAAACTTTATTTTCATAACATATTTCACACTAGAGAATCTCACAGTGGAAAAACAATTTATTGCTTAAAGCTTTGTACTTGTGGACATTTCAGGACACACGAAATGAACACATTTGAGGATTACGTCTCCGTTTAGAATTGGTAACATTTTGATAGGAGGGGCCTTTCCGCCACATGGAACTTTTCTGCATTCAGAAGCTCTCCAGGCCCTTTTTCCCAGAATGTAAAGATCAGTAACGTGAAACACCAGCACTCGCTAACTTTAAAGGTTCTCACCATCAGGGACTGGTACCAGCTGAACAAGGGGGGAGGTTTTCAAACATGAAGTGCTGCCCAACTTCCTATCGTCTTTGCTCATGAATTAATGGTTTTCCCTTTCTCCATCATCCCACGGCAGATGAAGAAGTTTGACCAGGTATTGATAGTAATAAAGCACAGTTCCCTTTAAGAGTTTGATAAGTTAAAATGGAAAGGCTCATGGATAATGTTCAGTTGCACTGTGAGTCTTGTGGGAAGCTGGAAGACAGCCTCAGCGACTCCCCACACCATGGAGCTCAGTCTCACAATTTCTTGGATACAATTCCTCTTAGACCTTTGCCTCATAGATAAAAATTCCCAAACTAACCAGGTGATTAGAAGGGCTTTATCTCGCCCACGGACTTACTCCCTGATTGTGAGGTGAATGGTGTGGCAGAGCAGAGGCAGTGAGGTGCACAGTTAGTTCTCAAGGTAGTGAGTCAAAAAAGGTCAGCGCTTCCACAGCACGGCCCCCGCCTTGCAGACACCCACATCGTGATAGCTGATGCAACGAAGCCCAGCAAAGGTGGAAGCCAGGAGTGCCAAGAGGCCTGCCTTGGCAGCTTTGCAGTGCATCCATCCGAACATAGTGACAGCTTGTGCAAGGCCCTGGTGACCATGGAAAGTGAGGACTGCAGCCAGGGAGTCGTCCATTGTAGAGGAAGGATTCAAACAAGCCACTGGGCCTACGCCCAGGAACGAAACACTGACAGTCCTCTCAGCACTGCAGTGCAGAGACGCAGCCTTGGAACCAGAATGGTGGCTGGGTGACAGGTGAATGTGCTGTGTCCCACACCGTCCTGGTGTAGGCTGGTCCTGGAGAAGTGCCGAGATTCCAGCAGGCCTGACCACTGGGGTGCGGAGGAGGAGAGCTCAGCCTCCTCGGGCACCGCAGAGGACACCTGGCCTCCAGATACTTGCCGTTTTGCTCCTCAAGGCTCACGGTCGTCCAGCAACCCGGGATGGGATGATCGAAGTAACTTTTGAGCCATGGTTCTCTTTCTCAAGTCAAACTCACAACGTGAAAACAGTATTTGTTTTAGCTACTTGTCCCCCATCATGACGTGCTAAGTCAGATTTTTTTCCCCAAAGGTTTTTGCAAGAATGGCTATGTAAAGAGTAGATTCTACGATTTCTAAATCTCATAAGAACAGAGTGAGTATGAGAAGAAGAGTAACATTTTAGCATTAATGTGCTTAGAATTTTAGAGATAAAAGTGACTTTATTTATCAGCCAGTTCAACTCCAGGTTTCCAGCTGAGTAAAAATAGATTCAAGGGAAGTGACTTTTTAAGTTCACTAATTACGCCAGCGCCTTTTCCACTGAACCACTTTTCAAGCATTGCTAAGATTTTTTTAGTTCTGATTTTTGAAGCAAGTGTAAATAGTTTCTAAAAGCTCCAAATGTGTTCATGCCAGCCGGGAAGTGACTCACCTTTTCTCGTATTGCTCTGGAGCTCACACTGGCTAAAATTGGCCCCAGAGCAGGCGGCACGGCTCCTGCTGAGCTGGAGGAACAAAGGGTGGTGTAGAAGGCCCCGTACCGTGGGGCCTCACTCCTGGGGGCGCTCCGATGGGCGCGAGGGAGGTCTCTGAGCGGGCACCTGGTGGTGTGTGCCTTCATCTTGAGAGAAAGGTGACATCTAAAAACGGTAGGCTGAGTCAAGGAAATGTGAGTTCACCGGCGAGAATTTTTTGCTCTTATCGCTTAAATTATCTAGTCCTCCTGCAAAGGATTTTTGTTTTAAAATAGCCTCCTTAAGTGGGCAGCATTTTGCTCAAAGATCTCATCTCAGAGGTTTAGCTTAACTTGTGTCCTGTTCTTCTGCTGACGTTTTCCTCTTTAGTAGTCAGAAGCCCTGTGCGGCTTCCTCGGAATTTTCCCGTGTTTTTACTTGTCCTCATGGGCTGGTGGGTGTTAGAGTCTGGGAATGCTTTATGGAGATTTCTTAAAGGTCAGCTGTAATGGTTCTTAACTAGAGACTGCATGCTGCCTGGGGAGCTTTGGAAAGGTGAGGGGCTTTTGGTAGTCAGTGACTGGAAGATGGTAATGAAATTGAATGACAGCCACAGATGCTAGTGGGGCAGCAGGGGCTTGGGTCACCTGGATGGAAGGCTGTCTTGCTGCTGTGGACAAACACTGAGAGGCCAGCTCTTATTTATAATGGGGAGACGAGGGTTCAGAGGAAGCTTGCCTTGGGTCACGTAGGTAATTAGGAGTGAAGCTGAGCCTAGACAGAATCCAGCTTTTATGTTTTATGTCTCCGAGTTCATACTACCTTTCACCATACACATGAAAGCGAAAACCTTTCGGAGACCTTTCCTGGAGACAGCCATTATTCAAAAATGTTTAAGGTGTGTGTATGTATGTAAGTATAGGGTGGGGCAAAAGTAGGTTTACAGTGTATGTGAAAAACAATTTATTCTTGTAATATTATTTACTAATTGTGTTCTTTTCCATACAAACAACTGTGAACTCACTTTGCCCCTCATTGTATACACATGTGTGTATATATGCTGATTGGATAAAAGCTAAAGCACCAAGGAATTTTTAAAAATAGGTCTATCTGAGATAGCAGCTGGTATTTTTAGTGATTTTGAGTATTTTCTAGCATATAACTAACATGCATGAATTAAACTGACCCGGGGGAAGTTTGTGGCGAATGTGCAAGTCAGCTTTATGACTCTCCTGAAAGAATCTGGGGCAGAAGGTAGACTCTTCCCCCAGAGAGTCCAAAGCTTGAGTCTGTCCCTGTGAGACTGTGACCACATTGGGATTAGCTGAATCTCATAAAGGGACCACCAAGATAAGCAGTTGAGGACATCTAGGCCCAGTATGGCAGCATGCCAGCCTCTTTCTAGACATAGAAGTAGGCTTTGAACAATCAAAGGTCAAGGTAAAAAATGCCAGAGTTTACTTGCTGAAACCTGAAGAGGTATGCCAGTAAGAAGCTGGTTAAGAGGAGAACAGCTTTATCCTAACTCAGGCGTTGAACACTGTCATGGAAGGGACCCGGAGTCAGCAGACTGAGGCTCAGGCCAGTTTTCTACTTGGGACCTTACGTCAGCCTCTTCCTCTCTCTGGGCCTGGGCTTCCTTCTCTCTGGGCCATACGTTACTGTTATGCGGATCAAATGAGAGAATGTTTGTGAATGTATTGTCAGTTGTAAAATGCCATGTGCATACAAGGTATTTTTATTTTTTCTAGGAAAAGCCAGCCAAAGTCAAAGTGGAATTGGCTTCTGGTGTCTCCTCCAAAGGCTGTGTGGTTAAAAGAAATCAGCAGCCTGCCATCACTGAGCAAAACTCCTCTAAGGAAAACACCTCCAAACTGACCCTGGAGAACTCGGAAGCTGTAAGCCAGCTCTTAAGTGTAGCTTCTCCAAGAGAAGTGGGTGAGGAGAATGAATGGGAAGAAGTGGTCATCTCAGATGCCCATGTTTTGGTCAAGGAGTCTCCTGGGAATCATGGTACAGCAGTCACCAAGATGCCAGTGGTCAAGAGTGGTGTGCACCCTGAGGTCTCTCTGAGGACAACTGAGAATGACAGTCCTAGCCCAGACAACCCACCACCAGCCGAGGGGACCAGCACCTCCAGTTCACTCCCTGCTCCTAAAAAACCTACAGGGTAAACTAATGGGTTTATACATTACAGCATTCCATTTAGAATAGCAGCTTGGGAAATGCCTTGTGTGTGTTTTGTCCCATGTGCTTACAGCATTCCTGGGAGGCCGCCGAGCCATTAATGGCTCCTGTTTTAGAGCTAGAGAGACCAAGGCCTAGAGACGGAATGGTTTACCTTCCTCCCCCATGCTCTGCTGTCCATGTCCTGCTGTTAGCTTCCTCATACATCTCTTCCTGTAAGTCTCAATAAAGCAGTTATCAAGGTTTTGCTGGAGCAGGCTGGGGGCCATATGATAACCTATTGTTCAATCCTGATAACTAGATTTGGAAACAGAAGTTCGATTATGGCACCATATAGAAAGATTCCTGTCGTGGTGGTCAAAGAATTCAGTTCTGTTTGTGACTCTGTCCCTAGCTTCCATTTGACCTTGGGCATAGGCACTTCATGCCTCTTGTCTCCTCTGAAAAATCTTGAGTTGGGTATTGAAAACAGTCTTATTCATCATTGGCTGACCACACAGACTGAAAAAGATTGTGTGCCTTGCAGGTAGGAGGAGGTCCATGAAGTGTGAGCAAATTTTTTTCCCTCCTTCAAGGCTTAACTGATTCTCCAGTAGCTCTTTCCCAGAGGTAGTTGTGGTCTTACAACTGATGGTGCATGCTTGTTTATGTCACAGTGGGAACAATGTTGCCTGCAGGGAACATTGTTGCAATATCCCAAGGCACTGTGGTTGTTACAACTGGGTGGGGGTGGGGCTTACTACTGGCACCTAGTGGGCGGAGGCCAGGGCTGCTGCTATGTAGCCTACAAAGCCCAGTACAGTCCCCTTGACAAAGGATTTTCGAACTCTTAATGTTAATACTGACAATTTTTAGAAATTCTGCTTTATTATTATAATTTAAAATTTTTTTATCATTGAGTGGGACACATAATTCACGTGGTTAACGCTCAAAAGGTGTAAGGAATGTACACTGAAAGAATCTCCCTTCTGGCCCCTTCTTCAGTCGCCCATTTCCATTTCCCAGAAGCAGTCCACGTTCTCCACATCCTGTTTGTAGAGATGAGTTTAAGCATATTGAAATATGTGTGTATTGTTATATGTAGATGTGTTTTTAACAATATACTTTAGGATGGTTCTGCATCCTTGGAGAATGAAGCTGTGTACTTGACACCTTCCGTTTGGGCAAGCGAGCCACCTCAGCACCGTGTGCACAGGCCTCCTGTGTGCAGGCTCTGTTCCACGTGGGAGCTGCAAAGGTGAAAAAGCAGGCTGTTCTCTCGGGCGTCTTACCCACTCTTATGTTGGAGACCGACACACTTTAAATATGTGCTCTAATTAGAGGCAGATTTGATGTTATACCACTGGCATTGCTCTCTGTAGGCAGTTTTGCATTTTCTTATCTGCATAATGACCCTATGAAGTATATGTAATTTCTGTCCCATTTTGTATATCAGGAACTTGAGGTTATCAGAAAAGCGAAACCACTTGCCCAGGGCCACACAGCTACTTAAAGGTTTTAGATGAACCCCATCTGTCTAAAGCCTGACAGTCTAACCACTACATGGTCTCTCCAGTAAAGTGCCGTTTAGAGATTGCACTTTTTCTTCCTCTTGGTCCTGAATTTATCCCTTCTTGGTTTTGTTTGTTTGTTTGTTTTTTCCAGACTTGACCTGCTCACCCCTGGTCCCAGAGCCCCAGAGATTAAAAGCAGAGCACGGGGCAAGCCGTCATTACTGGCTGCGGCAAGACCCATGAGAGCGATCCTCCCGGCCCCCGCCAATGTGGGCCGAGGCAGTGGTGTGGGACTGCCCAGGGCCAGGCAGGCCTTTCCCCTGAGCGGTAAGGACTAGGACAGACCAGAGGAGGGGCTGTCTAATGGGAAGGGGACAGGAATGGGGGCTTGTGAGTAGAGATGAGAGACTCGGGGAGACTGAATGCACTTAAGTTACCAGTTTGGCTCCTGGTTGTCCCAGATAAGACTTCCTCTGTGAGGACCTGTGGCCTGAAGCCAAGCACGCTGAAGCAGCTGGGCCAGCCCGTCCAACAGCCACCCCACACTGGAGAGGTGAAGGTAAGGCGCCTCCCCTTCCCCAAGGAGGAGCCGTCGGCTCCAAGCACAGGGGCTCCATGAGTGTCCCAAAGCCACAGGCAGAAAGCAGACCCTTGTTCTTACACTTGGTGGACCTCGGGGGGACATTTAGCATGAATTCATTGTCTTTTTTAATTAATTAATTTTCTTACTGTAAAATCAATGCACATTTAAAAACTATTTAGAAATAATTTAAAACTTAGAAAAACAGTTGCAAGAGTAAAAATTAGCAAAAACAATGAGCACCCGTCTGCTCATTACCCAGTGTCACCTGTTGTCAACATATTAGTCCACTTTGCTTTAGAATGTGCTCATGTGTGTCCTCCCCATCTATGTATGTGTATG